TATGAACTGTGGTGGTGATTATGTACCTGTCTCTTATACACATCTAGATGTGTATAAGAGACAGGTACAATAATGTCCCTTAGTCCCCCAGCTCGCTGGACCAGTACAATAATGTCCTTCGCTCCCCCAGCTCGCTGGACCAGTACAATAATGTCCCCTGGTCCCCCAGCTCGCTGGACCAGTACGTCGACGGTGGGATGATCGCCAACAACCCGACGCTGGATCTCCTGACGGAAATCGAGGAGTGGAACGTCGCCGTGCGCAGCAAGGGGCGGCACAACGACGTCTTCGTCCCAACCGTCGTTGTGTCCCTGGGGTGTGGCAAGGCGCCCCTCGTCAAGGTGGGGGTGTGGGGCCTGCACCAACAAGGTGTTTGTTGGGGTCGTGGTGCGTGGGGTTGCCTGCACCAACATGGTGTTTGTTGGGGTCGTGGTGTGTGGGGTTGGCTGCACCAATAAGGTGTTTGTTGGGGTCGTGGTGCGTGGGGTTGCCTGCACCAACAATGTGTTTGTTGGGGTCGTGGTGCGTGTGGTTGCCTGCACCAACAAGGTGTTTGCTGGGTTCGTGGTGCGTGTGGTTGGCTGCACCAACAGGCTGCAAGAGCTCAATTGTTTAACGCAATGTTTGTGTGCAGGTCGAGAATATCGACGTGGTGATACCGAGTCTGCTGGACATGCGGAGGGGACTGCAGGCTGTGTACAACCTCTTCAACCTGCTGGTGGACTCAGCCTGTCCCTCCCAGGTAAGCTGTCTACTACTTATTCAACCTGCTGGTGGACTCAGCCTGCCCCTTCCAGGTAAGCTGCCCACAACTTATTCAACCTGCTGGTGGACTCAGCCTGTCCCTCCCAGGTAGGCAGTCTACAACCTCTTCAACTTGCGGCGCGTTCCATCAAGTAGGCCGTCAACAACCCTTTTAACCTGCTGGTAAACTCAGCCTGCCGATAAGTCCACCGTCTCAGGAAGGCAGTCTCAACCTCTTCAATATCGTCGCGGACTGAGCCTGTAAGTCCCAGGTAGGCATTCTAGGACCTACAATTCGCTGCTGAGAAAATGATTAAAATGAGTTTCCCTTTCGATGCATAGTTCGCCGTGGGAGATTTTAGCGGAGCAATTACCGCGACACGTGGTTACGGTTGCCTCAATGGTGAGGTGCTTTGTGCTGAAATAATTTAATCTAAATTCAGTTTTCGATGGTTCGTGTATTGCAGGTTCGAACCGCGTTCCAATTGTTACTGCAGCAAGTTTTTGACGTTTTTGTACGATTATGAACTGGCACTCGAGCAAGTTATTGACTCTAATGTGTGTTGCAGGGCCGCGTCGTGGACCGAGCCCGCGCGTGGTGCTCAGCGCTGCACGTGCCCTTCGTGCGACTCAACCCGCAGCTGTCGGCGGACATCGCCCTGGACGAAAGCAGCGACAAGAAGCTCCTGAGGATCATGTGGGAGGCGCGCGCTGAAATGCGCCGCAACACCAAGATCGTCAACCATCTCAAGTACCTCCTCATCCCCCCTGGGGAGGAGGATAGTGTCCCCAGAGGGAGTGGGAGTGGCGAGACGGTAGATGGGAGTGGTCTGATTGACGTGGAGCAAACACTTTCTGGGGACATGGATAGAGGGAATTCCCTGCTCACCCCGGCGGGGGGGAATGAAGAACAAAAGAAAAGCGGACGATTTTCTGGATGGAGTTCCACGGAAATGGGGCGTCCGGGGAAGATTGATATCGGCTTCGGTGACATCAGCAAAGAGAAGAGAAAAAGAGGCTCCTCTCTGAAAGACATAATATCGAGTGTGCCTGAGTCCCCTATCAAAGGGCTGCTCAATAGAGGCGCCCATCATCTTTCCCTCAAGAAGAACAAAATCCTCACGAACAACCAGGGCGGCAGCGGTGGGGACGGCAGCAGCCTCCCCAGTAGTGGGTCGAGCAGGGACGTGTCTTCTTCTCCTGTTGGTGGGACGCCCCTAACGAATGACCCGTCCTACAGTCGGGAAACGTCCCCGTTCACGCGGGACGAAGGCTTGTCCCGTATCGAAGGGTCCCCAGTGAGCGAAGTGCCCATTTCCCCGCTGTCGCCACCCACCGAGGCTCAGGCCAACGATGATCGTTATGGTCATCCGTCACAACGGTCGCCGTCCAATGAAAGATTCTGCTTATCGCTAGACGACAAATACGATAAACACTCTGATTTGAATTTAACACTACCTAGCAGAACCGCTGGCAATAAAGCAGCACCTTCCACCGAGATCCCCCCGCTATCGATGCCGAGTTTATCAGAGTTGCTGGCTCGGTCTGGAGTGGATCCATCGTCTCTGGGCCAGGGTATGACAGACGTGTACATGTCATCCCGAAATCAACTGCAGGACGTTGGTGGTGTTTGTCAATCCGACGCGTCATTTAGAGCGTCAAGCAGCAGCACCGGTTTGCCGTATCCCTTGTCGGATCCTCCTGGCTACCCGTACATTGTAAACGCCTTTGATCCGGACTCGGAGTCAATCCTGCCTGTAAATCCCCTCAATCCAATCTTCACGGTGGATTCGGCAGAGAATGACCGCAGTTCAGAAGAAAAGAACTTCTCTTCAGGGCTTGGTTTCTGCCCCGATTCTCCAGCGTCCGTGAGGAGCGCTACTTCGGTTCCTGAAGACGACCGCACCGCCGACGTGTACAGCAGTGATGATTCAATCGCTGCTCGAGCTGGGAGCAGACTTTCCGACTCAGGTCTCTACGCCGACAATTATTTCGATGCCCTCGAGACGACGGCCATGCCACAGCATGTGCGTGTCGCCATCGTGGACCTCAACGACAAGGTCACCAAAGAGAAACCTGTTATCGTGAACCTGAGATCTGAGAAGCCTGGCCCCTCTTGTCCCAACGCAGTGTCCGGCCCCAACAGCCCCGGCTTAATTTCCATGAGCCAGAAACCTGTAGAACCTGCAGTAAGTTCCCCTGAATTGTCAATGTGTCCAATTCCAAAAGCTCCTTCTGTCTTGCCGCTCTGTCATAGCGACGATACCAAGCATTTGTTTTCTCCAAACTTGCAGTTGGTTCCCGACTCATTATTCACAAAGTCCAGCACAGGCGATGAAGTTTCTCGTGTGCCAACCGCTCGATCTGCTTCAGCCCCCGCGATTCCAGTTATGAAGACGACAGGAGGAAATAACAGCAAATCATTACGTGGAGCTGCAGGGGAAGATAATATCCCCGGGGATGTTTCCGCAGACGACCACAACCTACCCTCCTATAGCTGGGCACTTCGCAACGCCTAAACTTTCCAGAAAAGGAGACCTTGCTTTCTAATTCTAATGAACTTTTCCATCTTGTTACTCGACTTGAGATGTCCAATAAACATAGGACCCTATCCTATGACCCAGCCAGGTAACAGGTACTCCATTCAGGACAACACATCCTTGTTCAATACCTTTGAACATGAAAGGTAATACAAATACCTTTCACAAATGTTAACGAAGGTATTTTCTTCCATCTGCCGTCTTCAATTCACTTGTGTCACCCATCCAGCAATCCGTGAATTTATATCTCACCCTCCTAGGATAATTTATTTCCCATTTTGGAATCTATGAGGAGGAGAAATTTCTCAATATTTGTCCAGATTACAGTTTCATGTCACGAGACGAATGAATGTGATTAGTGAAATTGTAATACAGAGTATCTTTAACAAATTAACAGACGCTCCACAAAATTTTTAAAATTATTCTATTTCTATATTTTTTATTAATTCATCGTGATGATAATTAACGTGAATATTTGGACTACACATGGCAGTCGGATCTCCTGACCCCCCTTTAGAGAAAGGTTTATCCTGATTGCAAAAAATCATGTTTAACGAATATGGCTGTTAATATGGATAAGGATACTTAACTATGATGGTTGCTGATTATACTGCAGCTTTGTTCTCGCAGTCTCGTCTAAGATAGTTAGTATCAAAACTGCTTCAGACCATTTCGGTATCTTCACCAGCAGCACCTGTCCTCTCTATTAAAGCACCGAGAAACGAGGCTTTTAAGAAACTGATGTTTCAAATTTTTATTAGCATTTATTATGTCAATACCGTGCCATGTTTTTTTCGTAGAACGTTTTGCCATTTCATTTCGGGATTTTTCTCTTCTCATGAACTATTCCCGGATGAATGACGTTAGTTAATTTTTTTAAGTTGTCGTATCTGTATAACGACTCGGTCATTTTAAAATCATCCAGAAAGTGAAAAAAGTAACAGTGTCCGACCGTTTGGCTGGCCACTGATTACTCAGCCAGATTTGTTCACTAAAAGAGCATCAATGTACGGACGCTTATCTCCAATATCTGGGGCCGTATTATCAAAACTTCGTAAGTACGCAAAATCGACTTACGAGTGGCGTTGCTATGACAACGTAAAACTAACGATGGTATTATAAAAACATTTGCGCGAGAAAAAAATTTAGGCTTTTAGCAAAGACTTGCGTACGAAAGTTTTGATAATGCCAAAATTAGGGTGTATTTACGTGCCACAGAACTTTTTTGTCGTAAGTACAAAAAGTTACGAAGTTTTGATAATCCGGCCCCTGGCAGGCTTGTTGTCTAGTCTTAAGACCCTAAAGGTGCCCCAGGTAATAGTGATATGGTAATATTACTATTGTGGTTACCCTGGTAATTGTGATGTACCTTTTGGATGCCACGTCTACGTTTACGCTGTAACGAGTGACATTTTCGCAGCTTGCAGGGATTCGAACCCACGAACTGCTACTCCAATCCAGACGTACGCCTCGTTACCACATCAATTTAATCCTCAAAATGAGCATTATTTCGTCACCACACGCAACGCACAGTCACGCTTCACAATCTGTATTGTTCTAGGGCTATACTTTCAAAAAAAGTTAAGAGATCGTAAGTTCATCAGCCAATCATTGACGGCCTTTCAAGCAAAATCCACCAATCATAGACAAGAAAATAGAGCGTAAGTACTTACGTTCACTTAGCGAGTTTTGAAAGTATGGCCCGAGTTTGTAGGACGGTAACTTCTAGAGCTCCACTATTTGCCGTCGAACTTGTTATTCTCTAGAACTAACTAGCGTCTAAAGATGCTATGCGAATAATTTTAGAATGTTTAGCTCTTGATATTCAAGTGTTATCGGAGAAGTGTTAGTCTTGTTCTCTTTTCGTGGTTGTGATAACAACCAAAAAATTACGGTAGTTTTCCGAACATCGCTTCGGGATGTTAATGCCCGAATTAGCTTTGAAGTTTTCGGTGTTGATATTCAATTTAAGTTTTTGGTGTTACAATTGAACTTTCTATTTATAATTGTATTGAGTGAAAGCTTTGATATTGAGAGGCATCTTTCAACGCGTTATTGTACATTGTAGACTTGCTTGTTTGTGGTCGAAATTGGACTTTTCGGTGGTCTTGATTTGTGTCGCAAATTGAAATTTATCAACTCTGGTGGTGATTATGAAGTCTGGTGGTGATTATGAACTGTGGTGGTGATTATGAACTCTGGTGGTGATTATGAACTGTGGTGGTAATTATGAACTGTGGTGGTGATTATGAACTGTGGTGATGACTATGAACTGTGGTGGTGATTATGAACTCTTGTGGTGATTATGAACTCTGGTGGTGATGACTATGAACTCTGGGGTGATTATGAACTCTTGTGGTGATTATGAACTGTGATGATGACTATGAACTGTGGTGGTGATTATGAACTGTGGTGGTGATTATGAACTCTTGTGGTGATTATGAACTGTGGTGATGACTATGAACTGTGGTGGTGATTATGAACTCTTGTGGTGATTATGAACTGTGGTGGTGATTATGAACTCTTGTGGTGATTATGAACTGTGGTGATGACTATGAACTGTGGTGGTGATTATGAACTGTGGTGGTGATTATGAACTCTTGTGGTGATAATGAACTGTGGTGGTGATTATGAACTGTGATGGTGATTATGAACTCTGGTGGTGATTATGAACTCTGGTGGTGATTATGAACTCTGGTGGTGAGTATGAACTCTGGTGGTGAGTATGAACTCTGGTGGTGATTATGAACTCTGATGGTGATTATGAACTGTGGCGGTGATTATGAACTCTGATGGTGATTATTACCAACTACAGAGCTAACTCGCCGCCATGACTCATTAGTCTTTACACAATTACCCGTTATACTCATTAACTCACGCGCTGACGTCGCCCGTAACTCGCCCGTTGCCAAGCTCATTAACTCGCCCTTTGCTAGGCTCATTAACTCGCCCTTTGCCAGGCTCATTAACTTTCCTTCCATCTTTACCTTCTCTCGACCATTTCCCTTACCCATTTTTCAATCCCCTTCCCATGCCTTCTTTTCCCGAAATTTCCTTCCAGCAATTATTTTATTTGCGAACGCTGTCTCACTCGTATAAAGCCTCCTGTGCGTGATTATTTTGCCAGCATTTATGATGTGATTATTTAATATGATTATTTTGCAAGCGTCTGTGGTGTGATAATTTAATATGATTATTTTGCAAGCTTCTGTGAATAGATGATATTTACTTTTAAGGCTAGCATTTATTTTCAGGAGTAAACAGAATTATTTATAGCTTGAGTTTGTTCGTGGGTCTTGATTTCTGTAATATTGTTTTTATTGTTGTTATCTCTTAAGATGGCTTTAATTACGATCTTATTAATTATATTGAATACCGCGTGTTTTATTCGCGTCTGTTGAGACCAGGGCTGCTATTCTCACTCCTGTGACATGTAGAAGTCTTAACTTTATTTCCTTTATTAAGAATAATTAATAACGATTGACTTGATCAATATAATTAACATTGATCTCTTATTTCAGTCTTGCTTGTAAGCTTCAAATATTGAACCTCGCTTCCACTAGTGAAAAAAATCTTTGCTTTCTTAAACAAAATTATGTACATTATTGCTTCTTGAAATTATTGTTTTTTCTCAAGTATAACGCACAAACTTGCACTGAAAGAAATGAGCGAGATGTCGTCCAAGTAGACGCACTTTAGCCCTCCTGTGGGTCATCTTGACTCAATGCAATTGCTAAAATGTGTCGCTAATTGGACAAAATGATCTATTAATTTTTTGGCGTGTCATCGGCCGCTTCATAAAGGCACATGTCGGTTCAACGCGTGGCAGCTCTGTTGCTTTAAGCAGCGATCTTCTAAAGTAGTATTTAATAGTGGTTAAGGTTCTATTCTGTTGAATAAATTATTATTTTATGTTATTCTTCGCAACCAAATTCTAGTCCAGAGACCAATAACTGCGCTCCGTTGCCAGGCTCATTAACTCGACCGTTGCCAGACTCATTAACTCGCCCGTTGCCAGGCTCATTTTTGCAAGCGTCTATTGTGTGATAATTTAATATGATTATTTTGCAAGCTTCTGTGAATAGATGATATTTACTTTTAAGGCTAGCATTTATTTTCAGGAGTAAACAGAATTATTTATAGCTTGAGTTTGTTCGTGGGTCTTGATTTCTGTAATATTGTTTTTATTGTTGTTATCTCTTAAGATGGCTTTAATTACGATCTTATTAATTATATTGAATACCGCGTGTTTTATTCGCGTCTGTTGAGACCAGGGCTGCTATTCTCACTCCTGTGACATGTAGAAGTCTTAACTTTATTTCCTTTATTAAGAATAATTAATAACGATTGACTTGATCAATATAATTAACATTGATCTCTTATTTCAGTCTTGCTTGTAAGCTTCAAATATTGAACCTCGCTTCCACTAGTGAAAAAAATCTTTGCTTTCTTAAACAAAATTATGTACATTATTGCTTCTTGAAATTATTGTTTTTTCTCAAGTATAACGCACAAACTTGCACTGAAAGAAATGAGCGAGATGTCGTCCAAGTAGACGCACTTTAGCCCTCCTGTGGGTCATCTTGACTCAATGCAATTGCTAAAATGTGTCGCTAATTGGACAAAATGATCTATTAATTTTTTGGCGTGTCATCGGCCGCTTCATAAAGGCACATGTCGGTTCAACGCGTGGCAGCTCTGTTGCTTTAAGCAGCGATCTTCTAAAGTAGTATTTAATAGTGGTTAAGGTTCTATTCTGTTGAATAAATTATTATTTTATGTTATTCTTCGCAACCAAATTCTAGTCCAGAGACCAATAACTGCGCAACCTCGGGTCAAAAGGTCAACCATGACCTCGGGTCAAAAGGTCACCCTATGACCTCGGGTCAAAATGTCAACCATGACCTCGGGGGGTAAAAAGGTCACCTAATAACCTCGGGGGTCAAAAGGTCACCTATTTACCTTGTTCCATGTTGTGTAGATGCTTTATGACAGAACAGATAACTGACATACCAATAAATATGAAAAACTGAAAGTTTTAGGACATAGAAAAAAATGTTAACAAATCCACGCTTTAGTTAATACTTTGCACTTTTTAGAATTTAATGACAGCTTAATGCTTAGGCCTGCTATTGATCGCTTAGGCCTACTAATTGCTTAGGTCTGCTAATGGTTGCGTCGGCAGCTCTGCGCTAATAAAAACGTCGCTATATTAAACGCCTTCAGACGACACCGACTGAAGAATCCACTTCACCCATCACATCTGAAGGAGGGGCATGAATGGCCTTAATTAGCCCTTCCTTTCCTTTCACTCCCCCTTTAATTCCCTCTCACCTACCCCCTTCCCTTCCTAACCTACCCTTTTCTTTCCCTTCACACCTTCTCCCTTCCTTTGCCTCACCTCCCCCTTTATTTCCCTCTCACTTCCCCCCTTCCCCTCCTAACCTACCCTTTTCTTTCCCTTCATACCTTCTCCCTTCCTTTGCCTCACCTCCCCCTTTATTTCCCTCTCACTTCCCCTCCTAACCTACCCTTTTCTTTCCCTTCATNACGCACAAACCTGCACTGAAAGAAATAAGCGAGACGTCGTCCAAGTAAAGGCACTTTTAGCCCTTATGTGGGTCATCTAGACTCAATGCAAGTGCTAAAATGAGTCACTAATTGGACAAAATGATCTATTAATTTTTTGGCGTGTCATCGGCCGCTTCATAAAGGCACATGTCGGTTCAACGCGTGGCAGCTCTGTTGCTTTAAGCAGCGATCTTCTAAAGTAGTATTTAATAGTGGTTAAGGTTCTATTCTGTTGAATAAATTATTATTTTATGTTATTCTTCGCAACCAAATTCTAGTCCAGAGACCAATAACTGCGCCACCTCGGGGTCAAAAGGTCACCCTATGACCTCGGGTCAAAAGGTCACCTAATAACCTCAGGGTCAAAAGGTCACCCTATGACCTTGGGTCAAAAGATCAAACATGACCTCGGGGGTCAAAAGGTCTCCTAATAACCTCAGGGTCAAAAGGTCAACCATGACCTCGGGTCAAAAGGTCACCTAATAACCTCAGGGTCAAAAGGTCACCCCTATGACCTTGGGTCAAAAGATCAAACATGACCTCGGGGGTCAAAAGGGCACCTAATAACCTCGGGGTCAAAAGGTCACCCAATGACCTTGGGTCAAAAGGTCAACCACGACCTCGGGGGTCAAAAGGTCACCTAATAACCTCGGGGTCAAAAGGTCACCCAATGACCTTGGGTCAAAATGTCAACCACGACCTCGGGGTCAAAAGGTCACCTATTAACCTCGGGGTCAAAAGGTCACCCAATGACCTCGGGGGGTCAACAGGTCAACTAATAACCTCAGGGTCAAAAGGTCACCTATTTACCTTGTTCCATGTTGTGTAGATGCTTTATGACAGAACAGATAACTGACATACCAATAAATATGAAAAACTGAATTTCCCCTCCTAACCTACCCTTTTCTTTCCCTTCACACCTTCTCCCTTCCTTTGCCTCACCTCCCCCTTACCCTCCTCCCTTCTTTTCCCTCCACCCTCCCCCTTTATTTCCCTCCTAACCTCCCCCTTCTTTCCCTTCAACCCTCCCCCTTTATTTCCCTCCTAACCTCCCCTCTTCTTTCCCTCCTCACCCTCCACCCTTCCTTTCCCTCACCCCTTCTTTCCCCTCCTCCCTCATTTCAGCTCCCCCCTCCCCCAAGCAACACTCAGCGTCACGCATCGTCCAGCACGAGTTATTTATTCAAGCTTCAGCGCGCAATTTTCGCCCTCTAGCGTAAGGAATTTTTCTCGCCCAGGAAAATGTGAAATTTTAGGAACTAGCGCGATGTTCTCGGGGAAAAAAATGATAAACTCGCGAGAGAGAAATAAAGCTTTCTGGCTCATATAGAAACTAGGCGAGGCTTTAGCTTTTCATTGCAAGAATAAAAGTTCAAAGCACAGCAAATACAGGGTGATTCACGGAAACTTCCTGTTTTGAATTTCTCGCCAAGCAGCCAGATCTTGTAGGAAAAGGGCGGGGAGTATTTCATATTAAAAGCAAGGTCATGAAATTTTGTGTCCCGACTAGTCGGCACTATGCATTAGACAAGTGAGCAGCGTGCGTTTGCTGCCGTAACGTACTTTTCTAATGGCCGTTCCATTGACCCGAGACATTTTGCAGAGCGCCTCATCTCCTTGAGAGGTGATCTTTTGTGGTCGGCCCAATCCCCCGATTTAGCTCCATGTGATTTTCTATGGGGTCATTTTATCAATTGTTTACGATGACTGTCCAAGGACCTTACATCATTTGATAAACAACATATGCCAAGCCATCGCCAACATAGGTACCCGTCAATGCTTCAGCGAGTTGCACGGAACTTCAGAAAATCGACTAACTGAATACATTGACAATGGGGGCCGCCATTTGTTCGATATCATCTTTAAAACTAATTGATACAGAAATTCGGGTAATGTCTTTCTCAGTACAATTTGTATTGGATTAATATCTTTAGTTTACTAATTATTTTTTTATCAAGCTTTCAAATCAGGAAGTTTCCTTGAATCACCCTGTAGCCGCATTTAAACGATACAACTGCAGTTAACATATCCTCAACCCTCAATAAATTGATCTATATGNATTTGGGGGAGATAGGGGGATGTTTGTTGGGGGAGGAGATATCTGGGGGAGACAGGGGGGTGTTTGTTGGGGGAGGAGATAGGGGGATGTTTGTTGGGGGAGGAGATATCTGGGGGTGAAGGGATATTTGTTGTCTAGCGGGGATTTTTCTAAGTGGATCAGAGATACTTGTTGGAAGATTATTCATTTCTGCAGGATCTTGGATATTTGTGGATAGGTTGGTATCATCTTTTGGTAGATAAAGGTGAGTAAAAGGGAAACCAAATTCCGGAGTAATTTTGGTGTGTCAAGGAAATATTTTTAAGGATCGGGGATATCTGTTAGACCAACAACTCTCCTACCGGGCCTACTCATCGTCCCCTGGCAGCTCCTACCCTCCCAGTCCCGCCTCCCCAGCATCACTTAACAGTTACCACCCTGTATTTCACACGTCGTACTTCCTTACCAAGTAAAGAACGTTAAAAAACACTGAATTAGCGTCACTTCAACCAAACAACGTTTAATTCAACGTTGATTCAGCGTTATATGTCTGGTGCGTCACAAAACACCAGCACCGACGTCACCTACCGAGACCTCGCGCTGCCACGTCCGTAGCCACCAGGACGTTGAAACGCCCCTTCCGGAAATCTGCAATAACAAAAATTAATCAACAAAAAGTTATCTGTAACCTCAGATTCACTGGCACAGTCAGAAAATTAAACTAGGAGACTGCGGTCANAACAAAAAGTTATCTGTAACCTCAGATTCACTGGCACAGTCAGAAAATTAAACTAGGAGACTGCGGTCAAAATTTGTCTTGTGGCTCAAATGTTGCGATTATAAGAGAATTTCCAGACGCATAATTAGGAGGATAGATTCGAGGTGAAAAGGATCTACCTTGAGATGACCTCACCTTAGACCTCACCTTAGATGACCTCATCTGAGATGACTTCACCTGACGTGACCTCACCTGAGATGACCTCATCTGAGATGACCTCACCTGACGTGACCTCACCTGAGATGACCTCACCTGACGTGACCTCACCTGAGATGACCCTGTCTCTTATACACATCTAGATGTGTATAAGAGACAGGGGCAGGAACACACCTGTTTTCTCAGGCACAAAGGGCAGGAACACACCTGTTTTCTCAGGCACAAAGGGCAGGAACACTTCACTGTCCCCATAGGGCGTGAAGCGCCGCTTGGCTGCCATGTAGAGGAGCTTTGGGTCGACCCTCTGTCCCGCCTCCTGCAGGAGGTGCACAAGAGCCACCGACTTGCTGATGTTGCGCTGCGAGAAGAACGTGTGGGCGACGCCAGGGCGCCCGCACCGACCCGTCCGCCCCACGCGGTGGACGTACGTCGCCACCGTGTCCGGCATGTCGTGGTTGATCACGCAGCTCAGGTCCGGGATGTCTGGGGGNGCCAGCTGATCGAGGCCGCCGTGTATGAAGCCGCACTGGAAACTGCAAATCAATTCTTGCTTTAGTGGCGCTGCTAGTGATGGATATGTTGCATTTTTAAATATATCATTGTAATCAATAAAGTAATTATTGAAGCATCATTGGAATCTAGGAATGCTGGATACATATCATTGCAATAACTAAAATTTGTAAGAACTGCATAAACATGCGTTTAAAGTGGATTTTAAACATAAGTAAGTACATTCTTTTCTGACAGAATATCCAATCCGCGTTATTCCAAGTGGCCCTATCTGACTTTCTACGTTGAAGGCAACTAAGTTACCATTAATAATATTAATAGAAATAATATCAATAAATTTGATTTGACAAAACAAGGACACTCCATGTGAGTTAAATCACTCCTGGAAGCGCTGTGCAATCTTGTTCAAATTGTGTTAAGCTCGGAAAAAATTATGTCTCCATTAATATGGTAAAAGAGTATTTATAATTTCTAATACAGTAAATAACAAAATATAAGATGTTCCATTGTATAACGACCTGCCGTCCCTCAGTCGCTGCACAATCTTGCCCACATCGCGCTGACTCTGCGCAAACACCAGCGCCTTGCCTTCGGGGTTCTGGGTGAGCCCCTCCCGCAGCAACTTCTTCAGCCTGCACACAAGGAATTTAAACTATAACATTTATATATTTATGGTAAACTTTAAAATTCTGACATATAAGGTGATCTATAACATTCTTCTTTGAGCATAGCGGCTACTTTACACTAAGAGAAATTAGATTTTCTTCTCAGTTTCTTCAGCCTGCACACAAGGAAGTTAAATATAACATTTATATATATATATGGCAAACTTTAAAATTCTGACATATAAGGTGATCTATAACATTCTTCTTTGAGCATAGCGGTTACTTTACACTAAGAGTAATTAGATTTTCTTCTCAGTTTCTTCAGCCTGCACACATGGATAATGAACTTTATAATATTCCTACATATAAGGTGTAACTATATTAGTCCTACATATAATTTTAACTATAATATTCATACATATAAAGAGAACTATAATATTCTTTTGCCACATAAGCTACTTTACACTCGGAAATCGGAGAATTTTTAGCAGCTTCTTCAACCTACAGAAACACAAAAATTAGATGATTTGTTCATTTAAAGTAAAGTATAGCATTCTTTGGTGTGCAAAGCAAACTCGTTTAATATTGTGTGATCTCTTATAAATGCAACATGTCCAACGCTACATCATTGAGGAAAATAATGTTCCATAAAATTCCATCATTTCCACAAACCACCGCAGGAAAACCCATAACTCAAACACAAGGCCCATTAATCAAAGAAATAAGCTGGCGGGTTGCCCACACTCACAAAGCAGTTTTCTCAAGGAACTCCACGACGTGGACGTGTTGTACGATGTCGGGGTTTGCCTTGAGCTCCGTGGACCCGACGGTGAGCTGCACGGCGTCCGACAAGAAGCTGGACGCGAGCTGCTGGACCTCAGAGGGCCACGTGGCGGACCACATCAGCGTCTGGCGGTCACTCTGTCGGGGGACACACACATGAGACCACGTGGCGGACCACATCAGCGTCTGGCGGTCACTCTGTCGGGGGACACACACATGAGACCACGTGGCGGACCACATCAGCTTCTGGCGGTCACTCTGTCGGGGGACACACACATGAGACCACGTGGCGGACCACATCAGAGTTTGTTGGTTACCCTGGTTATCACCCACCCTGGTGTGCTGCACATCACTCACCCTGGTGTGCTGCATGATGCTGCTGATCTGCGGCTCAAAGCCCATGTCCAGCATGCGGTCAGCCTCGTCCAGCACCACGAAGCTGCACTGGCCAAGACGCAGCTGTCCGCTCTCCAGGAAGTCAATGAGCCGCCCAGGGGTCGCCACCACTAGCTGAAACGAGCACAGATTATAGTGGAAGCAGAGAGTAAAATAAAAATAGTGCATATTAGAATAACATCACTGAAATAAATGGATTCAGAAAGTAAACAAACAAAGTATATCACAGTTAATTTGACTAGGCACTTGCTTGGGAAAAGCAAACAAGAACCTAAACATATACAAGACTTCCCATATTGCATAAGAATGGAACCTTTTTGTTACAAATAACCCGGTTATTAGGATCACAAAGTTTGTGTGCCATTATGGTTGAATTAACCAGAATTAACGAGTTAAATTAGTCATGCAAACATACAAGAAATGAAAAGTTTCAGCAGCAAGCCAAGACTTAGCACCCACCTTAGCAGATCTCTTGTAAAAGGTGCCAAGTTGGACATCTCTGGAGGCTCCTCCAAACATTGCCACGGACTCAACATGAACTTTAGGACCAAACTCAGAAGCAACTGCTAAGATTTGCTGCACCAACTCTCTGTGACGAGTTATTAAAGAGAATTTATGAGCTGTGTTTCCAATATTGATTTAATATCAAGAAAAAATGAAAAATGCTACTAACATGAAACATTGACATTGTAATTTAAAATAGTTGTAAGGAAAATTTAATACTTTTAATTGCATAAAATCCTAGCACAAATGATTTGTTGTGTGAACATTACAGAATTGCAGGTGCTAACTAGGCTGAGTCATAAGAAAAAATGTAAAGTTCCAGAGAAGGACCTTCATGATGGCATTCAAAAGCTTTCTATTTAAAAAAGAACATTGATGCAGCATTAGAACTCAGTTACAACTAATATATAATTTCATCTCCTAGAAGACTTCCCTACTGGCCTATGGCAAGCTAACTAGGAACAAAGTAACCATGAAAAGAAAAACACACCCTGAGAACATTAACATATAGATTGTCACAAAATTAGCTGGGCACTCAAAGTATGAAAATGATCCATTAATGAGTTGGCTCAAAAAAAATATTTATTATTATGCTAGCAACAATTGAATTCAGCAAATACTGAGCCACAATATGAATATACCACAAGTGTTAACACATATAACACCTGTATGTATATTTAATAAGTTTATATAACATAACTACCTTGTAGGAGCAAGAACAAGTCCTATTGGAGCATCACGTTGCAGTTTCTGGTGTTGGGCGTAGAGTTGCTGGTGGTGGGAAACATGCAGGAGGCCTGGCAGCAGGTACCCCAGTGTCTTCCCGGAGCCCGTCTTAATAACATGATGATCAAGCATTAAGTTGACTTCAAACCATGCGCTGCTTTAGCTTAATACTAAACCTGATTTCTGCTTCAAAAACAAATTAAATAAAAGTTTCTAGTGCAATGATTATCAAATTTCAAGAATCAATCTTAAACAATATTTCCATGAGAAGTTCTTCCACAAGAATTCAAATGAGGAATTGTGAGTGTTCAGTTTACACAAATGATTATTTTTCTTGCAATTTTATATTAAATACATTTAAATTCTCATGATAAAATATAAACTTGGTTTAAACTCTCATGCTTTTTTGGCATCACTCACTTGTCCTATTCCAACCATGTCCAGGCCTTTGAGTGCTATGCTCCATCCTTGAGCTTGAATGGGAGTTGGGGCATCAAATTGGGCTAAACTCTTCATAATTCCCTCAGGAAACTCATGATCTTGAAATTTTTGAATTGGAGGCGGTATGTCTTGTCCACTAATTATGATTTTATGTTGACGCAAGAAGTCCTGGTGGTGTTCTTTAGGTTGATCCATCAATTCAGGATTGAGATTGAGGAAATCTTTTTTAAGAGGTGGCAGATCCTCAAGATTGATGGGTTTAGTGTCTTCAGAGAAACTATCCGAAAATTTTTGATTATGACGAGGCCGAAAAGATGAATTGTCAAAATTTTGTCTTCTGTTGTTCCAGCTTTGGCCACCCCCATACCTCCCCCTCATTGGTCCCCTCCGACTCCTCTGTCTATATTCATCATCATCTTCATCTTCTGTTAGGTCGTATTTATCCTGATATAGCCTCCTGGATGAGGTGTGAAGCTTCTGTGAGAAAATGTATTGTGACGACCCACAGCTGCGCAACACGTTTCTGTGTTGGTGAGGCCATCTTGGTAGGACTGATGGCACGTGGCAGTTGAAAGCTCCTAAGTAACTGCACAAAAATTACTGAAGGTCAAAAAACATCTTGGTCAAAGCATGTTGACTGGATTAGCACACTGACTCCAAATATGGCCTAATTTAGCAAAAAATTATTATAACCAAAAACATAGTTTATAGTATGAAAATTTTTTTCAGTTGATAACCTCTTAAACATGATTTAAGGTTTTCAAATTTTTAAGCCATTTAATTTAAACATCAAAATTCTTTATTGACTTGTTCATAAAAAACGTGCAATATACATATGCCCCTTGAATTAAACTAAAAAATTTTAATGCAATATTTTCAGTACATATTCAGCACAGATAAAAGTATCAGTGATAAGTAATTTGATATCCTGAGGCAGACAAGCTGACAAATATAATGTATACAAACTATTAACTTACCGTAAATTAGAAGAAATGTTACTTCCAATGGACATGAAGGATGACATGATTGGCTTAGTTAGATAATAGCACAATAATTTCAATTCCTTATTTCAATTAGACAAAATTTTATTAGGTACAAAACTGTTTTTATTCAGTTATAATTAACTAAAACTTGACAGTATTAGTTTACCTACACCTGAAAGTAATTCTTTACTGGATCCTGGAAGTAAAAGTTAAACAATAATTACAAGCCACACACATAGGGGAGGTGAAAATGTGCTGCTCATTAGCTTTATACATTTCTGAGATTCCAACAACCAACAGAAATGTGTCAAAGGAAAAGCTTTCAGGTAGTAAGAAAGTCTCTTTACTAATTCTAATAATCTATTCCCTGCATTTACAGTAGAACCTTGATTAGCTAAGGCTCCAGTTCACAAAGAAAATCAATTACCAACAAAAAAGTTTGATTACATTTACCTTGCTCACTGAAAAAATTTCACTTAACAAAAAAATTAATGCATCATTGGTCATTACAAAATTGTGCATAGAATGTCATAGATAGAATTGTGCACTGGCCACTGGGCAACATAAAATGAAAAGTAATTAACCTAAACTATGATTTATTTCTCCAAAAAATATGATGGTTGTCACTAAAACATTCCTTTCTGTTTCAGGTAAGGTTTTACGCTCTTTTTTGTTATAGAGAATTCACTTGACCCAATTATAATGATGTGATTTTACAAGCCATCCTGTAAGCTTACAGATACAGAAGAAATGCTATTTTGGCTGCAGATGTGAAGCTTGCAGTAGACAAGGTTGTTGTCAATACTCAATGGCATGTCCATGGATATGGTAAATGGTAATATCACATCAATGAAGGAAAAACAAGTCAAAATCAAAGAAAATGTCATTCATTCTACATCTACATCATCTACAAAGGCAGAGTAGGGCTTCAGAATACTGTTAGTAATAGATGAGTACACTCTGCATGCTTCAAACATTCTAAGATTAAGTTTTATTTCAAGTGTCCTCCCAGATTATCCCATTCCCAGGGGTAATTTGGTACCCTATTATTTTGCATCTGGGACCTTAAAAATAGCATATGGAATTTTTTGTAAATCCTATACAATAGCCTTTGCATGGAGCTTTAAAATGAGCCCAAACTTGTTTCTAAAATGTTTCATATGAGAGGTTATTGACAAAAATGCTTAAAACCGTCCCTTATTACCCTGTTTGACGGTAACCCTTTTGCAGCCTGCAGGCAAGCATTGAAATATCCAGAAATTAAAACTTCATAAACTACCTAGGTCAAAACAGTAAGAACTATTATACAAAATATTTATTGGTATGTATTTTTAAGAATTTTGCATATTGGAGGAATGGAGGTTTGCATTGCAATTTGCACTTGAAGAATTTATTATACAAGGTCACTACACAAAATATTTTGGTTTACTAAAGTCTCTTGACAGTTGACATTGATTTCTAATGACACTTTAAAGAAGTAAAAGAACTAGCTATTAGATTTATTGTGGTTTATGCTACTAATTTCTCATAAAAGTTGTATCCCTATGGGATACAGTTGTCAGTTGATACAGATCCCTATGGCCTCCTCCTACCTATGTTATAGTTAGCTACCACAAAAATTCATCACCTGAAATAAGAACTTATAAGTGAAGTAACAATTTAATAAACTTGCATCACAGCCTCACAGGAATTCCTAAATTAGGTACAAGTCTGTAATTATAGATACCTAATCACTATCAGATCATCAGTGGAGTGAGTGGAAAGTTTCCCTTCCTAGAATTATGGCACCATGGTCCAACTCACTCATTATCAATAAATTTCATAAACATTAATATTATAAGCCAAAATGGCTAATACTTTTTAGTTTTGGTTGGCAGTTGTCGGCACTCGGCAGCAAAACAATAAAGAATAGTGCACCGGCCAATGTATCACTGTATCATTTGAGCTCATGTTGTTGCCACGTGCGGTTGTGCAGTGATAACTCCTAATCCTGTTTCCACAACAACTAGGCTTGGCGCCGGTCGGCGATGCATGGTGGCTTGATACCTGTAAGTATTCTTATCATCATATACATATGGCCTTATCAATAGTTCGTTTCAAACAGAACGTAGACTTGTAGTAGAAATATATTGCGAATGGTCTTTAACATGATTCAATTATAAAGTTCGGAAGACTATCCCGATTATGCCTTACCTTACCAGCTGTATTCTCTGTACACAAAACTTGTAAGAAATCATAGGTATATGACCGGTGTCTGGTGCTTCTTAGCTCTAATATAGTATTGTTTCAAATTTAAGCCTCTAATCTATGTACTTCTAAATTGTTTCTAGAAAATTTAATTAATCGTTTTTAATTTGATGAAAAACTATTGAATAGTTTGTGCCGCGTACAAATTTATTGACCAAAAACATTTACCATCCTGAAATGAGGTCGGACTGCAAGTTTGGTAGTTCAAGCTTTGATGAAACCAAAGCCACTAACTTGACAGTGCTGACAGGTGACGGTGACTACGCTACTATAGGATACCATATTTTAATAACATGAAAAAAAGTCAACAAGGAGTGTTCAACTGTAAGCAAAAACATCATTTATTGAGCGAGAAATGTTTCCCTTTTCAATGCCCAGTGCATGTTCGTTACTTCGATGGAGCGCCCCCCAACTAATAAACAAATATGTTGGTTACGGTACTGCCTAATACCTTTACTGTAGTGATGAAATCAACTGAGTAGGTAACTCGGCGGTGTTACTGATATTCCCTAGACTCCTTTACCTGACATCTCGAGTCTAGGGAATATCAGTAACACCGCCGGGACGACTGAAATAGTCCAGCATTGCCCAATACCAGCATAATTTTCATACTTCACTACTTCACCCCATGCGCAAGCATGCTGCAGAGCAAATTAGCCCACATGATTACTTGCTGAAAGCCACAGGGACTAAATCCCTTCATGGATGTAAACCAGCAAGCCAATGACCTGCAAGCCGCCAAAACAATGGTCGTAACCCACACGCTAAACCCCAAAATATTTCTATCCATGCAGCCTAGCCCCTTCCCCACTTTCGATAAAGAACGCCCTGCGCCACAGTGCTATCAGTACACTACTACCTCTCCAGCCTGTCCATTCTTCTGGAAGCTAAACCTCCACGCTTACCCCCTGCTCCCCCTCCTTTCGGTACCAGCTTGCGGAAGAATTCTAACCAAACCTAACCTAACCCTTTTGCGGAAAGGTGGAGAGAAGGGGGTAAGTGTGGAGGAAGAAGATGCTGGTGAGCGTCAGGGCTGGGCTTACGCCTGCGAAGTGGGTAAGGTGATGCGACAGTCCGGTGCGGGGCCGCGCCCATTTACGGCAGTCTGGTGCGGTCTGCGGACCCTGTGGCTTACGGCATTTGTAAGAAGTGATGGTATGGGCTTAAATCATTGGTGTAGTACGGTTTAATGCTACTTTGCACCCATCAGCATTACACCTAAATTTTAATGTAATGCAAGAGTCAGGCAGGAACCTAAATGAGTTGCCTGACTGTACCTATCAGCATTAAACCTTAATTTTAATTTAATAGCATCAGTATGAGGAAGAAACTTTAATGACTTGAAAGTAAGAGACAGGAACTTTAATAAATTGAAAGTAAGCAAAAGGAACTTCAATGAGTTGAGAGTAAGAGGCAGGAACTTTAATAAGTTGAAAGTAAGCAAAAGGAACTTTAATGAGTTGATAAGAGGCAGGAACTTTAACAACATGAAAGTAAGAGGCAGGAACTTTAACAACATGAAAGTAAGAGGCAGGAACTTTAACAACATGAAAGTAAGAGACAGGAACTTTAACAACATGAAAGTAAGAGACAGGAACTTTAACAACATGAAAGTAAGAGACAGGAACTTTAACAACATGAAAGCAAGAGACAGGAACTTTAACAAGTTGACAGTAACAGACAGGAACTTCAATAAGTTGACAGTAAGAGACAGGAACCTTGATGAGTTGCCTGGCATGCCCGGCGTCGTCTGCGGTGAAGAAGGCGTGCGCGTATCCCTTGTTGCCGCGACGCCCCGTGCGTCCGATGCGGTGTACGTAGCTCTCGACGCCCTCAGCAGGGAAGTCGTAGTTCACCACGCACGTCAGGTCAGGGATGTCTGTTGATTAGGTAATACATTTAGGATAATTTGTTAAATTATCAAGCAATAAACTTAAGGATAATTTGTCAAATTCTCAAGCAACAAACTTAGGATAATTTGTCAAATTCTCAGGAATGTCTGTTAATTAGGCAATACACTTAGGATAATTTGTCAAATTCTCAAGCAATAAACTTAGGATAATTTGTCAAATTCTCAGGAATGTCTGTTAATTAGGCAATACACTTAGGATAATTTGTCAAATTCTCATCAGGGAAGTCGTAGTTCACCACGCACGTCAGGTCAGGGATGTCTGTTGATTAGGTAATACACTTATGATAATTTGAACTTAAATTCAAGTAATTATTATAATTTAGAATAATTCAAATTCAGAATAATCTGAACATTGAAACTTAGAAGTTAATTAGGCAATACATTTAGGATAATTTGAACTTAAATTCACAGGAATGTCTGTTAATTAGGCTATACACTTAGGATAATTTGTCAAATTCTTCAGAAATATCTGTTAATTAAGCAAAATACTTAGGATAATTTGAACTTAAATTCAAATATTTAATAATTTAGAATACTTAAGCATTCAGAATGATTCGAACTTTGAAACTTATGAGTTAATTAGGCAATAAACTTAGAATAATTTGAACTTGAATTCAAATAATCATTATAATTTTCAATAATTTGAACTTTGAAACTTAGAAGTAAATTAGGCCATAAACTTGGAATAATTTGTTAAATTCTGCATATGACAGAAACGTCTTCATTAAATTGAAATGAATATCAATGATTCTGAAGTTGAACGAGCATGATATGGAATCTGACAGGTCTGAAAATACAAATGATTAGCGTAATGTTTTGATTATTATTCAATTCTGATGACATAGAACTCTAACAAACTAAGGCTAAAACTAACGATTTCTACGAATTATTTTCATTCACTAGAATCTCATGCGATCGTCAGCATTGAGAAGCCATGAATTTCAAATTGACCAGAACTGGGTTGAATGTGCTGCTTCTAACCCCCACGAGAGCTTAAAATTTTCATTTTATTTATTTTAAAACAACTTTTATTAACTGCATTCTTAGCTCTGAGATAGTAAACATCCATGGCATAGAGATACTAAGACGAGACTATTTATTTAGAACCAAACAACGGAGTAAATAAATGTGCACTGCTTCTCACCGATGCCTCTAGCAGCAACGTCGGTGGCCACCAACACGGACACGTGGCCGCGGCGGAAGCCTGCAAAACAGAACCAAATGTCAGTTCAGAGAACTTTGTATGATGACCCTAGTCAATAAAATAAGATAATAACTAGACTCGTGGATGACGAAGACGTGCTATTGCATTTATACAGAAAGGCTGAGAATGCAAATTTAATTTTTTTTTTGTTAGTCAAAGGCAAAGTTTTTCATTCATACGGAAAGCAAATTTAATTTGTTACTCAAGGGCAAAAAATAACTGGTGTTTATAGTATAAATGATATAATCTGACATGAATATCAACAGCAAGGAAACCGGACACGAGTTACCTTGATTCTTAACATTAGTTCATTGCCAACGCCTATCAACTAAGAATAGCGTCAAAACAGATTTTGTAGAAAAACAATATATTGCGACACAAATGAAAAAATATTAAAAAATTGAGTGCACACTCACCATTGAGGACCGAATCGCGCATCTTCTGCGTCTTGTCGCCGTGAATGGAGCGCACCTTGAACCTGAAATATTACAGCTTGGTTACTGAAGGAAAACATCTTTTACAAATATTAATGCCACTACTGCTCATGTTGCACATTAATCAGAAACTAAAAAGGTTAAAAAAAGTACACTGGAAAATTTCATGACATCTTCGTAGAACCATATTATATATATTATACTCAATAGCACCGTAAAATGCTCAGTGTTGAGCGGCACAAACCATAATTTTAGAAACCTCTCATTTGGAGAAATTTCAAGACTTATTGACCTTACTATTTTACCAATTATCGGACAGTTAGAGAAACTAAACTCTAAACGAAAATGCCATTCAGTCAAGTTTGTGTAAATGAACTCTAACGTCAAGATGCAAACTTTATTTTATTGCGTGCATAAATAGAACCATTCAGCTTATCTTCAATGAATATTAGGTGAACTTCTATATTATATTCTTTGCTTCTAAACCGTATTTTGTGGAGGTGTTGAATTATTGAGATCAAATCTCTCCCGCTAGTTGAAAGAATTTAGTGAAACGCAGGCATGGAACATAGCACAAATGCCTCGAGTTCAATGTCACTAACTGAAGGGTGGAATAAACGCTACAGTGAAAGAGTTTAGTTACAAAAATGGTACAGGATTTTGATTCGTAAAGAAAATCCAAAAGGTGCTTCCAAGATGATCTTAGGGTGATGTGCAAGGGTGACATGCAAGGACTCAAATATGCAGCAATAATAGAAGAAATTTCATTTTCATCAAGAGGGTTCAGTAGTAGCCCTGGACCACATGTAAAAACATATGTAAGCCCTACATTTTACCATTCAAGAGATTTACAAATTATCAATTGAAAATCTCATGTAGATTGAAGTATTTCCCAACACTAACAATTGATGGTCAAAGGCCACACTATCAAAAAAGAAAGAGTTCAGAGTCAGTAACTGTCAGCCAATCACTGACAAGCTAAACCCATCAATTACAGACAAGAAATTGCCCGCTATGTGCACTTAAGGCCGCGACCAATACTTTAGTCGCTATGGGTACTAAGGTTGCTAAGTGTACTTAGGCCGCTACGTGTATGAAGGCCACTAAATGTTCTATGGCCGCTACAAGTACTTGAGAAGCTATGGGTACAAGTAGTACAGTTTAGACAGCACGCCCCTGGTGGAGATACGGACCCCTTGCGCTCAAGTTCTATGGCCACTACAAGTACTAGAGCAGCTATGGGTACAAGCAGTACAGTTTAGACAGCACGCCCCTGGTGGAGATACGGACCCCTTGCGCTCGAGGCTGAAGGAGACGTTGTCGACCATGCGTTTGGTCTCGCAGAAGACCATCGCCTGCGCATCAGCTTTGCCTTCCAGCATCTCCCGCAGAAGATCTTCCAGCCTGTGCATTCAAATATTTAAAATATTGAACAAATCTTTTTCAACATTAAATGAAATAATAATGATACTGAAAAATAATAAATAACCTTGGAAAAGAGCAGTCGTTATCTTTTTGTTTTATACTTGTTCAATAATTTCATCAAATTCCGACCCATGTCAAGAAAAATTTGTACTTTTAACATGAACAAGTAAATCATATCTTACTCGCAATGAACCATCTCGTAATTAGTTATGATAACATACCGTCGGCAACAAAGCAATGACAAAATGCGGCATTCCTTCCACACCTACGACTCAGACCCACAAAGCCAACAACGCAAGAACGACAATGATTACGAATTTTAATCCAGTTGCGGCTCACAGAGTCAATGTTTTCCTCCGCTGGGATACAGTTGATACAGATCCCTATGACCTATGTTATAGTTACAACAAAAATTCATCACCTGGAATCAGAATTTTTAAGTAAAGTAACAATTTAACAAACTTGCATCACAGCTCACAGGAATTCCTAAATTACAAGTCTGCAATTGTAGATAATCACTATCAGAATCAGTGGAGTGAGTGGAAAGTTTCCCTTCCTAGCATAGTGGCACAGCAGAGAGTTTTTTAGACTCTCCCTCAAGTTCATTATTGAGTCCTATAAGTAGACCAGCAAAGTATTCTGGATACCAGCATTATCATGCATAAGAAATTGGTTTAAATCATGAGTAAATGAGGGAATTGAAAATGAACTGATTCTAAAAAATCTCTGGTTTGTCACTATGCTTCCTAGTACCTACCTAGAATTATGGCACCATGGTCCAACTCACTCATTATCAATAAATTTCATAAACATTAATATTATAAGCCAAAATGGCTAATACTTTTTAGTTTTTAGATATAATTTCCTTATCTTCCTTGAAGTTCCTTCTATACCTACCTACTATTTAGATTTAGGCCTGGCTACTAACTCCCACCAACTACCAAGTTGGAAGTGGAACTGGAACAACTAGGTATGGCATCTGACATGACAGATTGACATGAGTTATATGATTATGAACTTTGGATAACTGGTATCTTTTATTTCTAAATAAACACTAACTACCTCAGGCTAAATGCAAATTTAAAAAGGGATACCTAAGGCTAAGGCTAAGCGGCCTAAGCCACGGCTAAGCTAGGTAATGGAGAGTGGAGACTAATGGATTGGACGAGTCAGGACGACGGACGTACTACCGTACTACGCGTTTACAATTCCCATCAACACATATGACAACTGTATTAAAAATTGTAGCCGATACGTTAATTCATTATGTTGGTTATAAATTATAAAAATACAGTAAACTTAGCGTGTTATGCACTGTGCGTGTGCAGTTCACACCGGTCTTACAATGTGGATGGAGCACTAGTGACTAAGGCTTGATCTCGATTGTGCGTCTCGAACACACTTCTGCAAGATTTTTGGATTTGGAGCATATTGACCTTGAAAGGGCATTTGAAATCGGTAGGCGCAGCTGTAGACTTCAAATTTTATCAATAAATAAACCCTGGAGTCAACACCTAGCCTCAGCTTCCAATAACTACTCTCTATCTCAGAATTAGAAGCTGCAGATTGCGCTAACAAAATAATAAAACCAGTTAAATATTGGTTGGAGATAATAATGCGTTAGGTTTTCAGCCAATCTTGCGCATGTTTGCTCATTAGCAGGCAGTTCTGCATCCGATCTGACCTACATCGGCCTAACTCCTTTTCAGGCTGCTCTGACTCACAACTTTCTTGCAGCCGATGACTGGCTCTCCTAGCTTATTTGTCAGACCTCTGTATTTCCTGCAGCCAATGAAGTTAGATTAGGTCAGCTCAGATTTGTTTGATATGGATATGTTGCGACACAAGTAGGTTAATTAAGTCAGATGCAGTGACCTTGCTTAACTTTGGCATGGCGAATCGGTGGCTGTGGACCCGTTGGCTTGAACCGGGTGAATCGGTAATACGCTTTGGCTTTAAGCGCTAGAATTCATAGGCTGCAATGCCCTCTAGCATTTTTAGCCACTGAGAGGAATATGGACCAAAGTGTGAAGTTGGGCAAAGCTGGCCTCTGGCATGTGCCCCAACCTTACATATTTATGATTTATACCACCGAAATTTGAATCGTGTTAAGAATAACGGGTGTTTTGTATCTCGATTACTCAAAGAGTTGGCAACTGTCATAGCTGGCCCACTGACGTAATTTTTTCAAAAAAAAATTGAACGAATGGAACTTGCCGGCTGACTGGAAAGAAGCTCAAGTGACACCATTGTTTAAATAAGGTGACAAAAGCTGCCCGGGCAACTATCGCCCTGTCAGTTTGACAAGTGTCGTTTGCAAGGTAATGGAATTTGTTGTGAGGGATCGATTAATAGATCATTTGACTGCTAATAATCTATTATCAGACTGTCAACATGGCTTTATTGCCGGGAGATCCTGCACCACTAACCTCTTGTCTACTCTGAACGAATGGACCCGCCTCCTGGACGAAAGGGAGCCAGTAGATGCAATGTCCCTTGATTTTACCAAGGCTTATGACAGTGTCCCACTGGAGTGCTATGCAGGAGCATATGTTCAGTCTTAAAATGACTGGCAAATTACGGACCAGGTAATAAGTCCAGCAGCTATCTCAATCAATCGTCAGTAATGGAAAGATCGGGTTCCAAAGGCTGGATCCCTTGTGAATCAAGTCACGAAAAATTCAAGAATCGGCAACAGGCCATGGGCCTATTTTCTTTAATGCCCACACTTCTACGTATTCTATTCTAATAAAAAATAATTTTAACAACCACTCAATTAAAACCATTTTCTGATTATATGGGTTCATATCCAACTTCTCAGAATTGCATTATTTTTACCTTACGTTGCTCAGAAACTATCAGCCTCCACCGCCTGCCCACCCGTGCACGACGACCCATAGATAATAAATATACCTAAGATCTGGCCGCCCACTTCGTAGACAAAAATACTTCCGGTCCCTCATTTCACCATAGTTTCTCAGATGATAGTAGGAAACAATCGGTAGAGAAAAAGTGCCGGTATCTTAAAAACCTGACATTTTGATCATCCGTTAATGAGCATGCTAACAAAATACGTGTTACATCGTAAAGTGATTATGTACGCAATGTCATCATCGCGCAAATAATGTCTTTGACTTCCCATATGCAATGATCAATCGTGGGATAACATGGCTTTTATTGCTCTCTATTATTCACCTCTCACAGTGTCAAGGTTTAATCGCATTTTCAATTAAAATTGGTTCACTTTATTTCCATTTCTCATTTTGCAGAAATTTGGGTTTTATTTCAAATATTTTTCCAGGAATGCAAGATGAAGCTGTTTTTCTAAGCGACTAGCTGGTCATGTTGAAGAAGCACTGCCCACGGTAACGCAAGGCAGTCCATTGTATTGAACGACCCGTTATCGTGTCCGACTCCTCAGGTTAAGAGACCTTACCTCAAGATCCCCTTAGGTACCATGTATCCAGAGTTCGTTTAGGACATCATTCCAAGTCCATTGGAAAAGCACAAACTTTTGACGTCTGCGAAGCTCCACACACAAGCGAAGCGACATCGGGAAATGAACTGAGCTTCCCGATACTCGAACCTGCGACTAGCTCCTCTCATCTCGGCGCTGCTACCACTGCGCCTGCAGTGGCGCTAAACAACTGTGCAGTACAGTGACACCGCCAGCAGTTCTCCTCAGACGGTTATGTGTGGTACACTGGTACTTATACAGCACAGTGTATTACTGAAATAACTTAATAATTGAATTTATAGTGCCATTATGAGTTCCGTGCCAAGGATCTGGTCTTTGTTATAATAGAGATTATAGCGATTACAATGCCATCGTATTGTTTTCCAAATAGAAAGCAGTATTGGAAATTATTTAGAAGCATGTATGCCTATTGTGATGAGCATCATGTGAAATATTGCATTATTTTATATAATAATATAATAACAACGGTTTCAGCGATTATTAGGCCGTAGGCCTATCGCCGATTATTAACATCGCAGAACATTCACAGCTTGTTGCGGTCTCGAACTCGCAACTCACTGCTACAATTCTGCTGTGCTTAACCGCCCGCCTCCTCGCCGATTCTGACCAGAAACTGGCGCACAGAGCTGGGATCGAACCCGCGCTTCTCTGCGTCAATCGTGCTACTCTGAACTTTAACCACTTGGCCAACCTGCCCACTGGTAATAGTAGACACTATAAATTACTAATAGTTCGGGGGAGCTTTGTCTGGATTTGCGGCAGTTCTCGGTTGATTGAGGAAATCAGAAACGACAATGTTCACATGTCTGGAATTATAACAAGCACTGGTAGGAGCCGAAATTAGCATATTTCTTAAGTTTGGGAGAGCTTATATGATATTTGCGGCAGTTACCAGTTAATTCACAAAACGTTTGTTTTTGCATGTGAATCCGCTAGTGAATTTGACGAAATATCGAATAGGCGGGCCTGGAAAATTGCAGCTTGTTCATTCACTTAGTAATTGCAGTGTCAGTACTGATTACTGAGTCGGCCAAATCCAGCATGGCGCTGATTTAGAGCACTGCAGATATAAGCTCAAACATCAAGCACGCATGCCCTGGGAGTCCCTCTCATGTCTGTGCGTGTGCTTCTCTTCTCTGGGAGTCCCCCAGAAGAGTTCAGCACTCCGCAATGCGAGCAACTGCTACTTATCTCATCTCACAGAAACTGGTGGTCTAGCTACCTTATAGCTAATGAAAATCACCGAATATAACGACAATTTGCCTTCCATCGCTTCACATCCTGATAAACTGCCGACAACGTGATGAGCAAGCACCAGCAGGCATATGAGTGAAACTAAAAGTGAGATGATGAATACTGTTTCTAAATAATCATTGATTCATTGCCGAGTCCAATAGCAACAAGCAGTCAACGCGTGACTTCTTCAGCTTCAATCCATCAATCAATAAGCTGTACGTAAGCTCAAACTCTTTGGGCATTATTCCCCATTTAATTAAGAGAC